AGAAGCCGTGTAGATGGCTCGTTTTTGCGCAAAAGCCTCTTGTGCAAAAATGGAGCCTCATTAATTATGCAAATGAGGTGTGGCAATATTCCATGCTTCGCCTCACTTGCATATTTTTTGTGCAAGAGGGGGCAGTGTAGACATAGCCATATTGTTTGCTTGCTCTCAGTTTACCAAATGCTGAGTCAGTGACCTGCCCTCTTTGTTGTTTACCCCTCCTTCAATTTTTGCTCTGCAAACATCTGCCAACTTTATTAGTGATGCTTTTATGTTTTTGGCAGGTCATTGTTAAAAATTTTAAATAGAGTAGGACCCAGCATGATCCTTTTGGAAACACATCCCACTTGATGGTAATTTCCTGTTTCCAATTACATGTTGGGACCTATCAGTTAGCCGGTTTTCGTTTAATAGCTGGTTTTCATTTAATATGTGCTGTGTTAAAACTGGTAATCTCATAAAAAAGTTACATTAGTTTTACAGCATCTATTTTCCATAAACCCATCTTAATTGGCATTATGTAATTACTCTCCTTTAATTCTTTTTCAATTGAGTCCCATATGTGCCTCACTGGGTTAAAGGCCTAGGTAGTTCAGCTCCTCCAGTTCTTCAGAGCATGTACCAACTGGAGAAGAATTTGAAGAGGCAGCAACACAGCTCATATGGGAGAAGACAGGGGAGGAAAGTGGTCTCCCCTTAGGAGAGCCCTTAGAGAAGCCTTCCTGGGAGGAATAAGACTATATGCTAAGCCCAGCTGGGGCTGAAGGTTTAATTACCTTTTCTTTTTACCTTATGTTAGACTTGGATCTGTGGGAGAGAAGCAGACGATAGGAAGTAACCTGGTGAGGATCACTCAAAAGGCAGACATTGTTGGCCCTTGAGGGTGTGTCTACGCTGCACCATTATTTCGAGATAACTAGCATTATTTCGAAATAACAATGTGAGCGTCTACACAGCCATTCTGTTATTTTGAAATAATTCTGAAATAACAAACAGCCTATTCCGAAATCTGTAAACCTCATTCTACGAGGAATCATGCCTATTCCGACATAGCTATTTTGAGGTAAGGTATAGATGCTCCACTGCTGCTATTTCGAAATAGCTCCTCACCAGGGCCATTCTAAGTTACTCCTCCCCAGTGCCTCCTGGGGCTCTAATTCAAGATAGCACATCTACATTAGGGAAGCCTGCCTCGGACTAATTTTGAGGCTTCCCTGCAGTGTAGACATGCTATTTTGAAATAAGCTATTTCAGAATAATGATTCAGGAATAGCTTATTTCAAAATAAGCATGCAGTGTAGACGTACCCTTAGGGTCCAGAGTCAGAGCCTGGTGGAGGAGAGGCCCTGGACTCCCCTAACACACAAGGGACATAAGCCTCATTCCTACCTCATTCCCCCTCTGATAAGAAGAGGGAAAGGACTGATTTTTCTGCTGGGAGGTGAAGTAGCCTTTTCCCGAAAAAACTTCCCCTGCGTCCAGACTCAAGCCGCGTTCTTTCGAAATTATTTCGAAAGAATGCGGCTTTTCTTTCGATGGCGGTAAACCTCAATTTACGAGGAAGAACGCCTTCTTTCGAAAGTTCCTCTTTCGAAAGAAGGCGTTCTTCAATGTAAAGAGGCCGTCTTCGAAAGAGAGCATCCAGACTCGCTGGGTGCTCTCTTTCGAAAAAGCGGATTTCTCTTTCGAAAGATCCGCCTGCAGTCTAGATGCGATCTTTCGAAAGAGCCTCTTTCGAAAGAAGCCTGCAGTCTAGACATAGCCTAGGAGTGCTACTCATTAGGCCAACTAGCCCACTAAGCCACTCAATGATTTTGCTGGGGATAGATGTCAGGCTAACAGGTCTATAATTACCTGGTCATTCAGTTTATTATTTTTGGAAACTGGCACTTGAGCTTTCTTTCAGTTTTCTGGAACTCCCAAAGTACTGCAAGACATATTGAAAATGAACATCAACAGTCCAACAATCACCTCAGCCAGCTCTTTTAAAACTCTTGAATGCAAGTTATCAAGATCAGCTAATTTTAAAATGTCTCATTTTAGTAGCTTTTATTTATAATCCTCTAGAGATAAGAGTAGAATGGAGAGAATATTACTATCACCATATGTTGAGACTATATTAAGTTTTCCTTAAATACAGAACAGAAATATTTACTAAGCATTTCTGCCTATCATTATAGACAGAATACATAATATATACATATTATTTATGTTTCTAGCACTTCAATTATTTCTAATGTATTTTAAAAGCTTCTTCTTATTGTCCATAGCACTGTGGGCCATAGAGTTCTTCCTGTATACCTTGGCTTCCCTTATCAAGTTTCTACAATTCCTAACTTCTGATTTATATTCATTATTATAAATTTAACCTTTCTCTCATTTTTAATTGTTTTAAATAGATATCTTCATCTTCCTTCTAAACTAGGAATTTTTAACCATCCTTCTTCCTAAGTTGTGGCATTGTAGTTTTTTGGGCAACTAGTAAATACTTAAATCAGTTACCATTCATAGATTTTATTAAATTCCACCTTATGGAATGGATTTGACTCATAATTTTGTTCAGCTTTGTGTAATTGGCCTTATGAAAGCACCAATTATGTACATTACTGATCTGGACTTTATTCTGCTTGCATATTATATATATGATCAAGGCATGATCACTACCTAAGCAACCATTAATTTTAGTTCTGTGATGAGTTCCTCTTTATCTGTTAGGACAAGGTTTAATAAAGAATTCCCCTGTGTTGGCTGCAATACTTTTTGGGTGAGGAAATTGTCATGTACAATGTTTAGAAATGCCAAGGATATTTTAGTACTGGCAGCATGAGACTTCCAGCATATGCCCCTCAAATTTGAAATTTTCCATCATCACACATCTTTTGTCTCTGTACATTATGGAGAGATGTGTAAGGAGCTGGTCATCCTGTTCCCTGATGTGATTTAGTGATCTATAGAAGACATCAACTAATACCCCATCTTGTGCTTTACCTGTTAGGACACTGATCCATAAGCATTCAAGATCATTTTCTTTTGAGTTATTAGTGACTCAGAAACTGTAATGCCATTTTTTTATATAGAATGTCACTCCCCTTCCCTATTTGGCCCGCTTGGTCCTTCCTAAATTGTTCTAATAATGGATTTTAACATTTCAATTGCGTGACTCATTCTACCATGTTTCAGTAATACCAACTAGATCAGATTTAAGCTCATAAATGAGCAATTCCCATTCCTCTTGTGTATTCCCTGTTTCCTTTAATAGATATGAGATATTCAAGAATTTCTTCTCATCATGGTCTCTGTGAGTGCTTACACTCCTTTTTTCTGTACAGTCACTAGAAGCCTGGAGTCTTAGAGCAGTCTCCACTAAGGGGCAAAATCAACTTAATTTACTTTGGGGTCTCCACTTTGTGCTAGTCAATGAGAGAAACTCTCCCATTGACTTCCCTTATGTATGCTGCTCATTATCGTGGAGAACCAGAGTTGATGAGAGAGCAATCAGCGGCTGATTTAGTGGGTCTTCACTAGACCTGCTAAATCAATCCAAGGGGGATCAATTGCTGCACTGCTGTTGAGGCATGTAAAATCCCCTTAATCAGTTAGCCACATGAGCTGATGACTCCTGCTGCTAGCCCTACGCAGGACTGCTGGCTGTTGCTTCCAACTCAGCATCGGGCTGCTGGCTCTGGCTCCCAGCTGCATGAGGGGCTGCTCTCAGGCACCGGTTAACCGGTGATGCTTACCAGGTAACCAGTTACCCATCCACATCCCTACTGCCGATCCCTGGAAAGTGTAGACAAGTCCTTACTCAAGTCCAGACTCCTAACCTTTAACTGCTGTGTGGCCCTGAACAGGATGTGGGTACAACATTCTACTTTATCTTGATTTTCTTATCCAGGTGGGGGGGGGGGGGGGGGAGTGGTAGATATTTTTAAAAGTCTTATCAACCCTTGGGTCTTTTGTGGGGTTTGTAGAATATCTTCAGTGAATTCTCCTGCTATGTTCTTGAAATGGATACATATATCCTTGTAACTTCTTCTCATCTTCAGGCTAGGGCAGTGTTTCTCAAACTGTGCTCCGCGGAGCCCCAATGTTGTACATTGATAGGTGTACAACACATACAATCAGTGGACCGCTAGGGTTCCACATAAATTTTTACGTATGTAAAGGGCTCCAGAGCCCAAAAAGTTTGAGAACCTCTGGGCTAGGGGATGGTTTATGCTCTGTAACTTCTGCTTATTGTTCCTACCTGAGAAGGAACATTAACTCTTCCATCCCTGCTGGAATGTGGCCAGAGCCAGCCTTCGCGATTTGGAATGGGTCCGCAAAAAGAGCAACTAACCCTCCAGGATTGTCCTGGTGTCACCAGAAATGAAAGATGAATCTTTCATTAAGGATTATGTCATAAAACCTCCAGGAATACGTCCAATCAAAACTGGCAACCCTACCTGCAAAGTAATTTCTCACCTTGCTGTCCACATCCTGAGTCTTCACAATGGAATGGATTTAGGATTTAAGGAAAAGTTATCACGCTGGTTGCCCCCGCCTAGAAATAATTCAAATCCACTGCAAATAAACAACAACTCGCAATGCAGATTGGTGAAACTTTCACAGAACACTTAAAAAACCATCTCAGCACCTTTCTGAAAGCATCCAAAGCAAACAGCTCACCCAGGAGTCAACCACCATTCCTGCAAAACAAAGCAACTCTCTTTGGAGTGCAACTAACAATTACACAGATCCTCCAGATAGATCACTGATGACATGGGGACGAAAGCTGTCACTGTGAACTCTGCAGGAGGAAATTATATGGCCCACACTGGGACATTTTCAATCAAAACTCAGTTAAATCATTTAAGGACCAAATGTCTCTGAATTAAAGTATTGGAAAAAAAAGAATACTAACAAAAACGTATTAACACAAATATGGGAACATGCAGATCCTATGCTTCTTTGACTTCCACTTTCCTAATATCACTGTGATCAAAAAATAGCACATCCCTTACCTGCTTCTCTGTATACCATGATCTGCAGTGGCAGTCGCAGAGGTCACAGGGCATTGGAGAAATGGGTAATGTCCAAACTCAGCATCCCAGAAGTCTATGTAGTACCCTTCTTTCTGCCGACAGATATTAGAGAGTATACCACGAGCAGCAATGATTGTAGGGATTTACTTCAGGTCAGTGTCATTGCCCATTTATAGATATATACCACTTGTCAGTGTATGTTACATGCCCTTTTGGGGGACCAATGCTCCAGCTGTAAGGACTCCAGCAATGCCCCTCTGCCATGTATATTGGCCAAACTGGACTGTCTCTGCAACAGAGGATAAATGGACACAAATCAGACATCAGGAATGATAACACACATAAACTTGCAAGGAGTCCTGTGGCACCTTCTAGACTAACTGAAGTGTAGGAGCATAAGCTTTCGTGGGCAAAGACCCACTTCGTCAGATGCACGTAGTGGAAATTTCCAGAGGCAGGTATAAATATGCAGGCCAGAATCAGGCTGAGGTGGATCCAATCAGGGAGGATGAGGCCCACTTCTAGTAGCTGATCTGGAGGTGTGAATTCCAAGAGAGGAGAAGCTGCTTTTGTAGGTAGCGAGCCATTCACAGTCTTTGTTTAATCCAGAGTTGATTGTGTCAAACTTGAAGATGAACTGTAGCTCAGCAGTTTCTCTTTGAAGTCTGGTCCTGAAGTTTTTTTGCTGCAGGATGGCTACCTTTAGATCTGCAATTGTGTGTCCAGGGAGATTGAAGTGTTCCCCTACAGGTTTTTGTATGTTGCCATTCCTACTAAGTGGGTCTTTGCCCATGAAAGCTTATGCTCCAACACTTCAGTTAGTCTATAAGGTGCCACAGGACTCCTCGCCACTTTTGCAGATTCAGACTCTGATACTTGACACGTAAACTTGTAAGGGAACAAGAATTCATTTACAAATTTGACACTGTTACCCTGGGTTTGAATAAAGACATGAATTGGCTCCATCATTGGCAATACAAAGCCCATTTCCCCTGCCTTTGATGTTCACATTTTCACATCAAAAGCTATGGATGGGACACACCCAGCCCACTTAATTAGCTTCATTAATACAGGTCCTACAATTGACAGGTAACTGCTTTTGCTGTTATATATATTGGATTCTGTTATTTCCACTCCAACTCATCTGATGAAGTGGGTTTTACCCATGAAAGCTCATGATCCTATATATTTTTGTTAGTCTCTAAGCTGCCACAGGATTACTCATTGTTTTTAAAGTTACAGACTAACATAGTTACCCCTCAGAGACTTCAAATCCTGATGTCATCTGAAGATGTCATCAGGTGCATATACATCTCTACTGCCATCTGAGTCTCCCAAAGGTGACAGTTCACCACCAGTCTGGCACTTCTGAGGTACTAGTTGTGTTATCATCCACCTCAGGTAATGAAGATTCACAGCTGGCACAGAAATACCACTAACATCTCACTCATGGAAAGGGAATATAGCATCCCAGTACAGCCCTTCCTGTACAAAATGGAATTCTTTACTGAGGGTACATCTACAGAACAACATTATTTCAAAATAACTAGCGTTATTTCAGAATAACTTAGTCTGCATCTACACTGCAAGTAGTTATTTTGAAATAATGTCAAAATACTATCAAGCTGGAGGATTTCTTACTCCAACTCCTGTAATCCTCATTGTACGAGGAGTAAGAGAAGTCAGAGGAAGAGTTCTCTATTTCAGAATAAGTGCTGTGTAGACGCTCCCAATTTTGAAATAATCTATTTCAAAATAAGCTATGCATTTGTATAGCTTATTTTGAGTTAAGCCCTCTCTGTAGACGTATCCTAAGCCTGCATCATGAATCTTTCCCAGGTCAGCCAGTACTTGCATTCACAAAAACCCCTCAATGATTCACTACAACCTGCAGTGTCCCTGAGTACAGTGATGTATGCTTGTAGAACTTCGTAGTGGATTGATAGGATCATTCGAAGCCTCCTGGCAGACAGGCAGCATTTTATTTGCATAGTCATTATTTGCATAATAAATATGTAAATAAAATGATGCCTGTCCACCAAAAGTTTGTGAATGGATTTGCCAGTCTGTGGTATAAAAAAGTTGGGAACCACTGCCCTAGAATATCACAAATGCTGAAACCTGCATTGCTTAAGTCAGTGGCATTTGCTTTTGGTATGGGAAGGGCTGTGTGCAACTATGGATGAGAAATACAATATAAAAGCTACAGAACTAGTTGAGCAGTGGTTGCATATTCCATCCAAAAATTTATATTAAAGTATTAGAGGTGCAAGTTAAGGACTAAAAAATTAGGTTGCCTGTGCAACCTTAATTTAGCCTCCATGCATTATAACACAGTCTTTAACTACATGATCACATACCATTTTTTCCCCAAATGACCCCTGCTTCATTCACTGAATGGGTTGTTAGTCAATATTTCTGTTTATCCTCCTCATTCAATGTATAGCCCCAGGTTGTATTTAATTCACACCACCCAAAACCCTGCACTCAACACAAAACTACTAATTACCTGGCATGCTTTTTTTCTCCTTATTCAAGAAATGTAATAGGAAAGAAACACATGGTACAGTGGGATCCAAATAAAAATGTTGGCTAGCTATGTACAACATGCAAAACTGGCCCAATCTACAGTCATTCTGCTGCTCTGGTGGGGTTCTGAAACCCAGAAATCCAGAGTCACTCGAGGGATAACAAATTATTTAAAGAAGACACTACCTAATTCCTATACACTGCATTTCTGTAGTGTTCTCATCACAGTATCTTGTGCTTACAGGCCCCCTTGCAGCTGGGAGAAACTATTGCTCAAAAAGACCTGCTCAGCCTCTAAAGTCCTGGGCTGGAGCATGCTTTGTGCAGCCAGAATCTCTACCTGCCTAACTCATGTCTATATGGACTCAGAGAGGTAGCCATGTTAATCTGTAACATTAAAAAAACAAGTAGTCCTGTGGTTGTGCCCACAAAAGCTCATGATACTATATATATATATTTAGTATACACATATTTTTGTTGGTCTCAAAGGGTCTACACAGCAGAGTTATTTTGGAATAACATCTATTATTCCAAAATAACTTTATGCGTTGTCTACACAAGAAGCCTATTATTTCAAAATAAGTTCAAAATAACTGGCTTCTTATTCCAAGTTCCTGTAAACCTGTAGGATTAAAGAAGTCAGTGGAATAGCGATTTATTGCGAAATAAGTGCTGTGTAGACAGCACTAAATTTCGAAATAAGCTATTTGAAAATAAGCAATGCAATTTGCGTAGCTTAAACTACATAGATTATTTTGAGGTACATGCTACTGTGTAGACATGCCTTAAGGTGCTAGAGGACTACTCATTGTTTAAATGTCTCTACAGCAGTGGTCTCCAACCTTTTTACACCCAAGATCACTTTTTAAATGACAGACCAAGCCAAGATCTACCGCCCCGCCCCTTCCTTGAAGCCCCACCCTCTCTATTCTCCTCCTCTCCATCACTTGTTATCCCCAATCCTTATACTGCTGCTTATATTATTCTGTAGGAAGAGGTTTTTCCAACATTTGGCTTGTCTACACGGGACCAAATGTCAGAAAAAAAAACCCTTCTTTTGGAAGCCACCTTATTCCTTGTGGAAAGAGGAATATAGGGGTGACCAAAAGAGCCTGTTTGCTCTTCCACTAAAAAAGCGGAAGAACAAAGCATCCCTGGATGCAGAAGAGTTTTTCTGGGATATCTCCAGAATCCTGAAAAACTCCTGGGCTGTGTCTACATTGGCACCCTTTTCCAGAAAAGGGATGCTAATGAGACACTTCGGAATTGCAAATGCCGTGGGGGATTTAAATATCCCCCGTGGCATTTGCATGAAAATGGCTGCCGCTTTTTTCCGGCTCGGGGTTTTGCCGGAGAAAAGCGCCAGTCTAGACGGGATCTTGCGGAAAATAAGCCCTTTTCCGGAAGATCCCTTATTCCTACTTGAAAGGGATTTATTTTCTGCAAGATCCCGTCTAGACTGGCGCTTTTCTCCGGCAAAACCCCGAGCCGGAAAAAAGCGGCAGGCCTTTTCATGCAAAATCCACCGGG